CAGGCGCCGGGAAATCGTTACTTTCCTTCTACCAGGCGCCGGGAAATCGTTACTTTCCTTCTACTAGGCGCCGGGAAATCGTTACTTCTACCAGGCGCCGGGAAATCGTTACTACTTTTCACCAGGCGCCGGGAAATCGTTATTTTTCTCCCAGGCGCCGAAATCGTTACTTTCTTTCACCAGGCGCCGGGAAATCGTTACTTCTTTCACTAGGCGCTGAAATCGCTACTTTCCTCTACCAGGCGCTAAAATATATTTCCTTCTACCAGGCGCCGGAAATGTTACTTCCTTCTACCAGGTAAACGAGCATTTTCCTTCACCAGGCGCCGGGAACGTTACTCTTCTACTAGGCGCGAAATCGTTACTTTTCCTTCTACCAGGCGCCGAAATCGTCCGCACAGGCGCCGGGAACCGCTTCTCTACCAGGCGCCGGGAAATCGTTACTTTCTTTCTACCAGGCGCCGGGAAATCGTTACTTTCCTTCTACTAGGAGCCGGGAAAACATTACTATCATTCTACCAGGCGCCGGGATTACGTTACGATCATTCTACCAGGCGCCGGGAAAACGTTACGACCATTCTAACAATCGCCGGGATTACGTTACGATCATTCTACCAGGCGCCGGGATTACGTTACGATCATTCTACCAGGCGCCGGGAAAATATTACTATCATTCTAACAATCGCCGATTACGTTACGATCATTCTACCAGGCGCGAAAACGTTACGACCATTCTAACAATCGCCGGGATTACGTTACGATCATTCTACCAGGCGCCGGGATTACGTTACGATCATTCTACCAGGCGCCGGGATTACGTTACGATCATTCTACCAGGCGCCGGGAAAACATTACTATCATTCTAACAATCGCCGGGATTACGTTACGACCATTCTAACAAGCGCCGGGAAAACATTACTATCATTCTACCAGGCGCCGGGACAACGTTACGACCATTCTAACAAGCGCCGGGAAAACATTACTATCATTCTACCAGGCGCCGGGATTACATATGACTGATTTTCTGGCGTTGGGATTCCAACTGGGTGACTCCGGAGACAAGAGAGGATGCAAATGAAAACTGACACAATTCTGCAGGTTTGGATAAAGTTGAATTAGAACAAATATTTGCCCGGGTAAGTTTATACCTGTGAGCATTAGGGGTAGAGCCAGCTAGGATTAAAATAAATACTTGCCTGGCCGAGCTTTTATCTGTCGACCTGCTATATAAACAACGCCAGAAATTGCGATGTATATAAAAATATAAATATATATATATATATTTATATATATATATTAAGTATGAATTTCTATATACTCCAGTGTATATAATAATAATAATACCGTTCTTGGCACCAGCAGTATTCACCACTACTAATGACTTGTAATAACAACAATAACAACACAACCACCATCATTATCACCAACATTTCACTCAACAAGTAAGGTATGGCACCACTACCACCACCACAACCATAACAACCACCACTACCACAACTATAGCAACACCACTCAGACACCACAGCACAAGAGGTACAGCACCATGCAGCAACACATGGGACACAACGCCACACTCCTGGTCGGAAACCGCAAAGAGCTGCTGTGTTTCTCGTAAAATTGAATAATGAATAATAATTACACGTTGGAGCGTCGTCCTGTGAGGGAATTATGACATCTTGGTCCCTGGCAGCGGCGCGCGGTCCCACACTCCCTCTGTCTTAACCCTGAGGCGGAACATACTCTCCCTCTGTATATTATTTTTTTTTGTATTATTTTGTACTCCACCAACAGGTCTTGTATGTCTCCAGGAATATTAAGACTCATGTTTTCTTAGTTACTTTCCTTTGTATCATTTTTTTTACTCGTAAATTTCCACGAATATGAATTTACATTTTTCTTAATTAACAGAGGTATATTTTTTTTTCCTTCACATTTTTGTACTTTTGTATTATTTTGTATTTCCTGTATATTTAGGTATTGTTTCTGATATAGCTTTTGTATTGCTATTCATTGTAGTCTTTATAATATTGCTCTGGTACTCGAGGTATTGGCTATGTACTCATTATAATACTATCTGTACTCTTTTTAATGTCTTTGTACTCTTCATAACAATATGTACTGTACTCTTCTTCGTGTTTTGTACTCTCCTTAATGCTTCTGTACTCTTCTTAACACTATTCGTACTCAACACTATCCGTACTCTCATAACACTATCCGTACTCTCATAACATTTTCTGTACTCTTAACATTATCCGTACTCTCATAACACTTTCTGTACTCTTCTGAACACTTTCTGTACTCTTCTTAATGTCCCCGTACTCTTCTTAACACTTTCTGAACTCTTATTAACACTATCCGTACTCTCATAACACTTTCTGTACTCTTGTTAATATTCCCGTACTCTTTCTGTACTCTCCTTAATGTCTCTGTACTCTTCGCTTCACTTATGAGTCCACGTATCGTTAAGACAATGGTGTTTACTCAAAGGCACAAACAAACATCTACTTTCCTCCGTCACTTAAACACGATGGTTAAGCCGTAGCACGAGAGGACCAGTAAACGTGTCACCTGGTCGAATGTTTTGACGCTAAATGATGCGGTTTTTAATTACCACACACACACACACACACACACACACACACACAGTCAAGCCAGATGCCCAGCTGACTGGAAGACCTCTTATGTATCACCAGTGCCCAAGAACCAGCCCACAATCCTTAAATCAGCTACGACCTATTGCAATCACCCCAATACCCAGCCTAATCTGTGAAAGTTTTGTGTTTGACTGGGCTTATGCTGATATTGCAGGAGTCGTAGACCCTCAGCAATTTGGCAACATGAAAACTTCCTCCACCACTCACTGTCTTGTCAGCTTTCTCGATTACATATACCGCCATCTCGAGAAACGAAAAACGTCTGTAGCTGTCGCCTTCATTGATTTCACTAAAGCGTTCGACCTAGTCGACCACAATATAATCATAAACAAAGCTATTGACCTCGGGCTTCGGAGAAGTCTCATACCATGGCTTACAGACTTCCTCAGTGACCGACGCCAAGCTGTACGCTTCCGAGGGGCTGTCTCCACCTTTCAGTCACTCACCTGTGGCGTCCCCCAAGGCACCAAGATGGGACCACTCTGCTTCCTTATGCTCATCAATGATGCCCTAAGAGAAGCCCCTGCTCGCTGGAAATATGTCGACGACTCCACCATTGGGATCAGCGTCAACAATTCCGCTCCCAACTATACCGCCCTTCAGGATTTATTGAACAGTCTCCAAAACTGGGCCACCAACAACCATGTCACCATCAATCATACCAAGACAATGGTTATGCACATCAACCTCTCCTCCGACATTGTCCCACCTCCTTCCATTACCCTAGGTCCGAACACACTCCAGGTTGTAGATTCCACGAAGCTCCTCGGCGTCACCATAGACAACAAACTAAATTGGAAACCACACGTCAGTGAAGTTGTCAAATCCTCCAGTTTCCGTCTCCACCTCCTCCGCCGACTCAAGTCCCTCGGAGTTCCTGCACACGAGCTCCTCAGTGTATACACAACATTCATACTTCCCAAGCTCACCTATGCCTCCCCCACCTGGTCTTCCTCCCTAAATTGCCACACAACGTAAACACCTAGAAAAAGTGCAAAAGAGGGCATGCAAGATTATTCTCTCCCCTTCCTACTCCACATATCAAGAAGCGCTCAACACACTGACCCTTTCGACTCTCACTGACCATCACCACGACCTCATCTGCAAATTTGGTAAGAAGCTTCTACACCATCCTCGACACCGGCCCCTACTACCACCTGAGATCCCCTGTCCGAGAATTGCTGTTCGACACCACAACCGCATCCAGCCCATACGTGCACGAACTGATCGCTATAAGAACAGCCCAGTCCCAACCATTGTAAAAATTATCAATAACATGTAATAAATCAGTGTATTCACTCCCAGTAAACACTGCTCCCTACACTGTCACTATGTTGAAATGAACTGTATTTTGAGCTGATCCCCATCTAAGTTACTATATGTCTTATTTGTGTCACTTATGTCACTTGTATATTATTTGTAATTCGTAACCCATTCCCCAAATATGTAACTGTATATTTTCAGCCTTCTGCTGCCAAGCCTTTTCAATAAACCGTTAATTATTACACATATACACACGCACACACACGCACGCGCACGCACACACACACACACACACACACACACACACACACACACACACACACACACCAAGTGCCCATGTATCTCTATTTACAATTTCTCTCTCTCTCTCTCGATCTATTTATCGCGCTCTTTACTCATTTTCTCTCTCGTTTTCCGACTCTCCGTCCCAGGTGTAACAAATAAATAAGATATGTGTATGTCTGTGTGTGTGTGTGTGTACGTACAAGTTTATCTGTATGCGTGTATATGTGTACGTGTGTGTGTTGTGTAGATGACGGTGGGGGAGGGGGGGGGGGGTAGTGACAGAGGCCTCGTGGTGCAAATGTGTGTGTCGTGTGGCCTTATCTTCACCTCCTGATAAAGTGGAGGTAGTAAAGTATTTTTCCGTCTCGGTAAATGCACAGCGAGGGGAAGCAGCCCACATACCTACCGCCATTACTAAAACATGTCACGAAATTAATCAATGAAAGGCAGGTGTTAACGACAGGTGTTAGGAGAGACAAACACACTAATGTCAGGAGTCCCATAACAATCGTGAGTCTTAAACCAACGCAGTAAATTATATTCCTGGGTTTCTATTCCCCCCAACACCTGTGTGACTGTTGCCGCCCCTGAATTTAATAAAGTCATTTGTTCCTCTAATTTCGTGAGGTGAGACATTCTTCCACGACACCTGGACGAAAATCCGTGAATCTTTAATGTTAACCAACTATTGACAGTCTCAATAAAACCGCTCCCACTGCACACACTATAATATATCACCATTATTAAAGGCGGACTCGACACGCAGATCAAGCAAAGTGTTTATAAATTACTCACCTTTCACCAACCTGCCACGGCACCCAGCGTCGACACGGCACATAAAAACCCGTGTCCACTGACGTTCTCGTCCCTTGGTGGCGTGAAGGGGGCGGGGTTGTGGGCGGCGACGGGCGTGATGGAACTAATCCCCGATATGTCCTAAGACCCAAGAAAGCATGTCCAGTCCTAAGGGTGTACAGCCTTATGTGTCACAGTCGGAGAGACGTTTCATGACCTGCTTCCCACAAACGTCATGTAGCAGGCACGCCACCCGCCGCTTGCTCAAGTATTTTAATTAAAACCCAGACGACGACAATACCACACCACCTGAGCTTGACCAACACACACCTTTCCTGGAACTGTCAGACGCTGTTGGGCCGTGAGTAATGAGGGGGTCACTTACATGCCAATTTACAGTGATATTTATAATGGCATTCTATATCAATTTGAATGTGATTTACCTTAAGCCGGCAAAATACCTGCGAGTGTTATATTGATTCTGGTGGCATGTAAGAACTGTTATTTATTTGGTGACTTGTAGAATATAAATGTGTGTGAGAGAGACTGACACACACATTCGTTCCCTACTAGTGATCATGTGTTCATTAGCCGCGTAGGACAGCTGTTCAGGCGCTACCACACAAGGCGAGAACATCTGCCCCCTCTCTCACTTACACACACGATGTTATCCGTCCATGGATCAACTGACAGTACCTGTACACACCTGTACCGACCTTTAATTGGATCACAAAAAAGTCACTATAATGGCTTTCTTACAGCAGCTAAGCTATAGGTGGCTTAGTGACTTACATCAGGCTGACCAAGATTAATGTACCAGTTTCTTTTCTTGTTAATGAGTATATTAACTTTAATTAGGAGTATATAATTATATACCGTGTGTGTGTGTGTGTGTGTGTGTGTGTGTGTGTGTGTGTGTGTGTGAGTGTGTGTGTGTGTGTGTGTGTGTGAGCGTTAATATTCAGGCATCTAAGAGTTACCATCACACTCATATAAATCCTCTTCAATGCTTAGATAATTATTTAAGATCCAGCAAGATTGATGATATTAATTTAAGGTCCACGAGGAGGCAGCTTGATCGATACTACACTCGATATACTTCACTTCCCCAACTACAAACTTAACTACCTATTCAAAGTTAAATGAACTAGGAATTCCCCTTGTCGCGAACCAGCTACTCTAGGGTACAGGAGGCGATTGCTGTACTGCTCTATCCATCAACTCGACAACCTCCTTTGAAACGTGCAAATGTTACCAAGTTGAGAAGTTACAGACCCCTACCGGTGATATACATAACATATAAATACTCGTATATCTATTTTGGTAATATATTCCACAAAAAGAGACAACTACGCCCCCGTCTATTGATGCCGGGGACGGGTGTCACTACCCTTGCGTGTGACAACAGACGTATACAGTGCTCGGTGATAACGTCTGCCACTGCCACACACTGCTAACACTGCTAACACCTGTCTACTCTCTCCTACGATATTACACAAGCTGATATCACCTGCTGATACTAGTCGCCGATATCAAACAACGACACCAGTTAGTGATACAATAGCAGCCGATACCACTCAAGAATTTAAATCGGGAACTTCGTTAACATTATATGGAAAACAACCGATATTCCCTGTAGAAATAAGCTACAGACGACTTTGCCCCACCGATGCTAACAGTGACACCTCAGTAACCGATTACAGACGCCGATATCACCCACCGATATAAATAGGTGACAGCAGTTGGTGTTCCTTCCTTTCACGCACCGCCCACGACACAACCGATGACTTATCTACATTAAAGGTTCTTGTAAAAGTCATTTGCTGCGTAAATTATGGGGCGGACACCTTAGGTCACCTCTCCTCTCTCCTTTTCACCCTCCCCTCACTCTCTCACGCTTTTCCCCATTCCCTCCTTTACCCTTTCATATTTATTTTTCACCTATTCCTCGTCAAACCCCTTTTCCTTTTTCCACCTCCTCTCACCCCTACCCTTGCTCCTCAATCTTCCCTCACCCCTCCTCCTCTTCCATCTTCCTTCACCCTTCCTCTTCCGTCTCTCCCCCTCCTCCTCCTCCCCTTCCTTCACCCCTGCTTTTCCCACCTCTTCCGTCTCTCTATTCTAACCCTACCAATTCCTCCTCCTTCTTCTCCTTCCCTTTCATCATCTTACCTCCCTTCCCTTCACACTCCTGCGTGACGTAATGACAGACGGCGATGAACGACAGATCGTAAACGGTAAGGACTGACACTAACCCAGTCCAATTTAAGTTCATGTGTGTGTGTGTGTGTGTGTGTGTGTGTGTGTGTGTGTGTGTGTGTGTGTGTGTGTGTGTGTGTGTGTGTGTGTGTGGGAATGGTGATGGGGTGGTACAGATGGTGGAGGAGGTGATAGGGGTGGGTGGGGGTGGTGATGGGGGAAGGGAGGTGGTGGTAGTGTCTATGGTTGGGAAGGGGAAGGGGAGAATATTAAGAAGGAAGTTATAGAGATAATGGGGATGTGGGGTATAATGGGGTCGGGGTTATGGGGAATGGTGGGGGTAATGGGTATTCGTGCCTGGGAACCCCTAGTCCACCCATCTGTGAAAAAGGTTCCTTATTTTACTGTTTTGGGGAACATAAAGGGATCGAGTGCAGTGTAAGTCAGATCTAAGAGACCAACTTTTACGTATATATTCTGGACGACTGACCCACACAAACCTGACATCATTAAAACCTTTGAATATAATGACTTAACCCCTTGAGGAAAGAATCATCGCACTCAAAGGGTTAAATCAAAGTACTCAAAGAGTTAAATTATAATACTCAAAGAGTTAAATCATAGTACCCAAAGGGTTAAATCATAGTACTCAAAGGGTTAAATTATAATACTCAAAGAGTTAAATCATAGTACCCAAAGGGTTAAATCACAGTACTCAAAGGGTTAAATCACAGTACTCAAAGGGTTAAATCATAGTACTCAAAGGGTTAAATCACAGTACTCAAAGGGCTAAATCATAGTACTCAACGGGTTAAATCATAGTACTCAAAGGGTTAAATCATAGTACTCAAAGGGTTAAATCACAGTACTCAAAGGGCTAAATCATAGTACTCAACGGGTTAAATCATAGTACTCAAAGGGTTAAATCATAGTACTCAACGGGTTAAATCACAGTACTCAAAGGGTTAAATCATAGTACTCAAAGGGTTAAATCATAGTACTCAACGGATTAAATCATAGTACTCAAAGGGTTAAATCATAGTACTCAACGGGTTAAATCATAGTACTCAAAGGGTTAAATCATAGTACTCAACGGATTAAATCATAGTACTCAAAGGGTTAAATCATAGTACTCAACGGGTTAAATCACAGTACTCAAAGGGTTAAATCACAGTACTCAACGGGTTAAATCATAGCACTCAACGGGTTAAATCATAGCACTCAAAGGGTTAAATCATAGTACTCAAAGGGTTAACATTATTATTCAATGTTTACTTCGCTTTATTTGAGTGTTTATTTTTATTTATTTTGCTATGTAATGAGTGAGATGATGACTGGCGGAGGTGTACACATTGGCGAAGGTGTACACATTGGCGAAGGTGTACACATTGGCGAAAGTGAACACAATAAAGAAAGTGTGTACGTGTTTATACTGAAAATGTGGCACCCCCATCGCTTATAATTGATTTCTATACTAGTTGGACACCTGAAGAGTATAATGTCACAGGTGTATCTAGTTGGGTTACCTGTACGTACCAACACGCGATAACGTCTCTCTTCCACCTGTCCAACTATACACATGTTATTGGTCTCGTTATAAGAAGAGTGTCCAGGATATAAGGTGGGCTCTATACCATAACACCTGGTCCATATCACAATACACTACTGATACAACTAAACCAATCACAGCTTCCCAGGTAATGTGGTATAATAACTATCACCTCCTAGGAATCAGTGATCTCCTAGGACTCACTGATCTCCTAGGAATCACTTGGACCTGTAACTATAGTGTTAAAGACTCTGATCTCCATGACCTCTCACTACACAGGAAGCCAACCACTATTGAAATATAATCCCATAAATGTCTGGGTTAGGGGTTTGGTTAGGTTTGGTTAGGTTAGGTTAGGTTTGGTTTGGTTTGGTTAGGTTTGGTTAGGTTTGGTTTGGTTTGGTTTGGTTTGGTTAGGTTTGGTTAGGTTTGGTTTGGTTTGGTTTGGTTTGGTTAGGTTTGGTTTGGTTAGGTTTGGTTAGGTTAGGTTAGGTTAGACACCGATAGTCAGTACTACTGTTTCTTACAAGTTAAATAATCGGAAAGTCCAAAAATAATAATAATTTAACTCTTTCTTGATACAAATTACCCAAAGACAAAAAAAGATCCTCTATGTTAAATACTATTCACAAAGTCAATATACAACCTCTCGAAATACAAACACCTTTAAACACCAAAAGAATCTGTTGTTTATCTGTCTCTCTCTTTTATCTCTCTCCCTCCCCCTACCCTATCCCCTTCTCTCTCTCTCTCTTTCTCCCCCTTCTCTCGCTCTCTCTCCTTTCCCCCCACCATCACCATCTTCAAAATACCACTTATCTCTACATCTCTCCACCACCTCCTTTACATTCTACACCCAAAAGGGGAATAATACCAGAGGAGGAAGTAACCGAGGCTAAACGAGGAGAGAAAGGAAACGGTGATAAACGGGGGAAAAATCACTCACACATTCCTTTCTCTACCACGACACAAAAATATACGTCACTTACTATTGTTTAACTCTGTAAAATGTTCATGTTTACTCTGACCCCCCACCGAGGTGTATGGCGACCCCGCTGTGTGTGTGTGTGTGTGTGTGTGTGTGTGTGTGTGTGTGTGTGTGTGTTTCCGTATATGTGGATATTGCTATGCGTTTACGTGTGCTCATGTGTGTAAATGTATGTCCGTGTTTTTAACGGTGTGCGTGTGTAACTGCGTGTACGTATATTTGTAACTGTGTATACGTATGTGTGTAACTATGCGCGCGCGTGTGTAACTGTGTGTGTATATATGTACGTATATATGTGTACACTGCTGATGTGTGTGTGTTGGTGAGTGTAAACAGCTGCTTGTTGACAATGAGTTATCAAACACTCACCAGGTCCTGCCAGCAACACCCTGAACCCTCGCAAGGAGTAACTATTCAAGGTCCGGATTCTCAGAAAACTCTTAGGCTGAGTTACTCCTCTTAAACGCGGATAACAAGAGAACACGTCTAGTTAAGGTAGAGTCGCAGTACACTTTAAACTTCATAGTTGTCCTGTAACACGATACTACATCATCAACTTATGGGATCACCTGTAGATTAGCTCCCCCCCCCCCTGTTTATTTCATTTGATGATTTAATACCCTAATGATACCTGGTAGAGATGGGGTAGGTTAGGTTAAAGGTAAGGTAAGGTAAGGTTAGATTAGGTTAAGGTTAGGTTAGGTTATCTCAAGTTGAAATATACAAGGGGGGGGGGGAGGCGTTAATGTTCAGGGAAAAAAATAAAAGAGTACGAACCTTTGAGACAGAATTCAACACTACACTGGAATAAACACTCTTATGTACACAGAATCTAACAATATAAACATTGGTCGCGTCTTGGAGAAACATCGGGGCATCAAAATCACATATATATATATAAAAAATCTCATAAAACAACAATAAAAAAAACAAAAACATCAACAGACACTTCTCAGACCAGGACATCCACGGACTTCCTGAAGGGGACCGCCTACGGGTGATCCCCTTCAGGAGAATCTCTTAGATGACCCTTTGGAGTTGCCCTTAGTCAAGTTGGGAGGCCAGTGTTGCTTACCTTAGCTTCCGCTCCTCCCTGTAGGAAGAGACAAAACAAAAATAAATCACAAGTCGAAGAGAATTTGCTTAATGTGGGAGGCCTCAGGACTACTGTGTCCATATGTGGCCACTACGAACATGGGGGCAGGGGAGGGGGTGACTTTAACGTCAATCAAGTACATGGAGATTACTTCAGTGTTACAAGGAACTGAAGTATATGGGGATTACTTTAGCGTTACAAGGAACTGGGATTACATGGGGTTATTACAGTGTCACAAGGAACTGAAATACATGGAGATCAGTTACATCAGCGTTACAAAGAGCTGAATTACACAAGGATTACTTCAGCGTTACAGAGCACTATCTACCACCTTAACACGGTGACTTTACACGTCAAAAGAGAAATTACCTGAAAATTTACTGGACATGGAAATTTTTGGGGCAGTGACTTCAACTTTGATGATTAATTACAGAATAGAATAAATGACTATAAAACACTGCTTAGCGTTATATAAACACAGTAATGTTAATTTAGTCACCGGTGGTACTTCAACACATTCAATAACCATCTACTCTCTGATCTTCCCAACATCGATAAATTCACATCCATGGAGGAGAAATTTAAAAAAAAATGATAATAATGACATTTAACTTTTATAAATTGGTAGAAAAACTTTAAGTAGAATATAATTAACACTTAACATCCTCAGAAAGTCACTATTGGTGGCCTATTTTCCAAGGGTTACTCCAATAGGTCGTAATTACTTTTTTTAAGGCATATGTAATTATTTAAAGTGATGGTAGTCCAAAACACACACACACACACACACACACACACACACACACACACACACACACACACACACACACACTGAATGAGCACAGACAAAGACCTCTTGACATGGACGAGAAAGGAGGCCTATGGACCCCGACACAGACCTCCCTCCGTCTACATAGGGCCTACATTTACTCAGCGACAAGCAACTCTTTTCTAAACCCGCCTGGATTATCCGTCATAAGCGCTTCATTCATCCACTCGGCCTCCTTTCTTTTAGTCATTAACTTTGATGGCGTGAAGAATCAAAATGCGTCACTTAGCGGCTTCCGGAGGTGTGAAGCTTCGTCCTCAGGCCAGGGAGAGAGAGAGAGAGAGAGAGAGAGAGAGAGAGAGAGAGAGAGAGAGAGAGAGAGAGAAAAGAGAGAGAGAGAGAGAGAGAGAGAGAGAGAGAGAGAGTCTATATGAAGATGAGAGGGAAGGGGTAGGCTTACGTGGAAGCATAGAGAAAAAGAGAGAATTAAAATCTATTAACACGGTAGATGGAAAGAAAGTCTGTGAGAGGCCTAAGTGTGTAAGACGAATTAAAAGAGAGAGAGAGAGAGAGAGAGAGAGAGAGAGAGAGAGAGAGAGAGAGAGAGAGAGAGAGAGAGAGAGAGAGAGAGACGCCACAACAACACGGACGTCCAAGCCCACCTCGTTCTAGGACCTCCTTCACCAAGTGACGCCGTCAATGAGGGTGACGGCGGTGGTGGGTACGGCGGTACGGGACACTGGACGAGCCTTCAAAACCTCTTAATCGCTCCAATGGCATCTAAGACAAAGGCTGCCTTATTCATGAGCCCACTTTGACTGGCACATGTAAGGCCTATTTGAGTTATAATTAGAGGTCCAAGCTGCCCACCCTGGGGGAACCCTTGTCATGGTCTATATTAGTTTCCCATGATTAAGATGGTTAACCAGGCGAGGATATTTTTTGTCGTGTCACACCAAGTACAATGTTGGGGAGGAGGAGGAGGAGGAGGAGGAGGAGGAGGAGGAGGAGGAGGAGGAGGAGGAGGAGGAGAGGAGGAGGAAGGGTGGTGGTGGTGATGGTGTGGAGATGCTAATGCAGGAAGTCGGTACAGGAAACGCCTGACTGACATGAGTGAAATAAGACATAACAGGAAACAGATGATTGAGTGATTGATAGATATATAGACAAGAAACAGCTGATTGATAAGGTAAATTAAGACATGTAAACAAGAAACAGCTGATCGAAAGGTAAATTAAGACAGGAAACAGATGATTGAGTGATTGATAGATATATAGACAAGAAACAGCTGATTGATAAGGTAAATTAAGACATGTAAACAAGAAACAGCTGATCGATAAGGTAAATTAAGACATGTAAACAAGAAACAGCTGATCGATAAGGTAAATTAAGACATGTAAACAGGAAATGAACGATAAAGTAGATGAATAAAGATACACATAATGAGAAAAACAATAAATAAACAATGGTGAATAAGACAACACCAAGATAGAGGTGTTTATAATGAGTGAATAAAGACAAGATAAACAAGAAACAGGAAGACAAGAACAGCATAATAATATTAAATAGAAAATATTAATTACATCCCTGGCGACGCAACAAGTTCCTCCCGACACACACACACACACACACACACACACACAGACACACACACACACACACACACACACACACACACACACACACACACACACACGCACACACACAGTAACATGTTGACAACAGGAAGACGTCACATCGAAGTAGGAGTCACAGGAGACTCGTGTCAGCCAATGCCTGTCAATCCTCACTCACCTCTTCACCCTGTTCCCCATACAAGCGTTTTACCCTTCCTCTACACTCAACTCCCGGTGCTTTATAGACCTACGGAAGAAAGACCTCCCACAACAAACCTAGGCCTATTAAAACCAACCATCCCCTATACTCCCTATCATCATCACCCCCCTCCCCTCCTTCCTACCACCACCTATCCCTCCCCTCTTACCCACTACCCCTATTCTTTCACTGATACAGCCTATGGGAGAATCAATACCCGCTAATCAAACAAACAAACAACCCCACTATCCGGGTATAAACAAACGGGCGGCGGTGTAGTCAAGCAGCTTAGGACCTTTGTTTAAGCAAGATGGGACACACAGAGAGACTAAGTAACCCGCACACTTTATTCTCAATTGCCATCTTGTTTGTGTTGGCCTGGATGGAGGGATGGAGGGAGGAAGGAAGGGTTGGAGGGAGGGAGGAAGGGTTGGAGGGAGGAAGGAAGGGTTGGAGGGAAGGAGGAAGGAAGGGTTGGAGGGAGGGGAGGGGAGGAGGAAGGAGGAGGAAGAAGGGTTGGAGGGAGGAGGAAGGGTTGGGAGGGAGGAGGAGGAGGGAGGGTTGGAGGAGGAAGGAAGGTTGAGGGAGGAAGGAAGGCTGGAGGGAGGAAGGAAGGGAAGGTTGAGGGATGGAGGGAGGAAGGAAGGGGTTGGAGGGAGGAAGGAAGGGTGGAGGGAGGAAGGAAGGTTGGAGGGAGGGGAGGAAGGGTTGGAGGAGGGAGGAAGGGTTGGAGGGAGGAGGGAGGAAGGAAGGGGAAGGAAGGAAGGGAGGAGAGGAGGAGGGGAGGTGGTTGGAGGGAGGAGGAAGGGTTGGAGGGAGGGAGGAGGAAGGGTTGAGGGAGGGAGGGAAGGGTTGGAGGGAGGGAGGAAGGGAGGAGGGAGGGAGGGAGGGGAGGGAGGGAGGAGGAGGAGGGAGGGAGGGAGGGAGGAAGGGAATGCCGGATAGGCCTACATCTCCACAATCTCGTTGACTGGAGGAGGAAAGAGAAGAAGGAAGAATGGGTGATATAAAGGATAAAAGAGCAGGAAAACAGGAAAAAGAGAAAAGAGAAATGAACTAGAGAGACTTGACACAGAGGAGAGGAGGAGAGGGAAGGGAGGGAGTTCTAATGAAGGGAAATAAGAAAAAACTTTAGAAAATGAGTGAGTAGGGGGGTGGGGGGTGGGGGTGGGGTGTGGGGGTGGAGGTGGGGTGTGTGTGGGGGTGGGGTGTGGAAAGTGTTTACACATCAGCCACTGGTCAGTCAGTATCGGTCTCCTCCTCCCTGATGATAATGTTGTGATCTATGGATTATCCCGAGAGGTCGTGAGTGTTTGTTTACACCCTGTCCTCCCACTCGGCCAGGGTTGTTTACAAGTCCCCTGACACTCGGCCAGGGTTGTTTACAAGTCCCCTGACACTCGGCCAGGGTTGTTTACAAGTCCCCTGACACTCGGCCAGGGTTTCACTTACGATATTCCGAGAATCACTTAACTTCCTGTACAACTGTGTGCCACTTTTGATATGATTTTGAAATTGAAAGTCGCTTAGATTTTAGTTACAATCTCGTGAAAGGTTAGGTTAGGTTAGGTTAGGTTAGGTTAGGTTAGGTTAGGTTATTGAATACTTTGTCATGCTACTCTTTAACCCCCCCTCACTCCTCCTTACCCCCTACCCCTGTGGTGTTGACAGCTCTCAGCTCTCAGTCAGCTGTTGTGTCCAGTCTGTTGACACTCCCTCGCTTAATGATCGTTCACATCATTATGATAATCTGTTAAGTATCCCTCATATCTTTCTGACATTTCTTTATTCATGGTTTGTTTTCTTCTAAATTAATCTTCAAAAATGTCTAGTTCCTCGTCAACACAGGTTCACAATAAAGGTATTTTAACACACACAATTTACAGGTAAATTTCATCAACCTATCAATTTACATTTACATCCTCATCAACACAGGTAAAATGTAAAAAAAAATGTATATCGAATTTACAATACACTCCAACCAGACAATTAAGTACAAAACGGATAGTTAACATTGAGAATTGTAATACGAAACCTTGTCTCTTAGTCATTATGAAGGTGGAAAGTAACATCCACCAGTAAGATCGGGAAAGATGGATAGTCTGCTGAATAGATGTGTACGACAACTTCCAACATCACGACTTAATGCAGATTCAATCGTGCGATATTATTTCCCTCTGACATTACCATTTTCTCACACCTTTCTCCTCCTCCCCTTCTTCCCCTTCCTCATTTGTCTTCCCCTTCTCTATCTTCTTCACCTCCTCCTTCTCCTTCTTTATCTTCTCCTAAGTCTCCCCTTCCTCTTCTTCCTTCTCTTCACATCAGAAAACCACACAAAATTGGGTATGTGGGAGAATGGGTGGGTATGTGGGAGAATGGGTGGGTATGTGGGAGAATGAGTGGGTATGTG